GGACCCAAGATTTTCCCCTATGATTTTTTTTCGAAAGTTTTATAGTTTTATATTTTACATTTCAGTCTGTGATACATCTTGAGATAATTTTTGTATAAGGTGTGAAGTTTAGATCAAGACTCATGTCATTCCTCAGAATTTTGTAATTTTCCAGATACAGATCCTGTACATGTTTTGTTAGATTTATACCACTTTCATTTTCTTTGGAACAATGCAAAATGGCATTATTTTTTAATTAATGAGTATTTTTTCAGAGACTTACTCCCCCCAAAACAAACAGACAAACAAACAAACAAATGTAAGGTTTAAAACAAACCTCAAAGCAATCTAATCATAGCTGATGTTTTGTCTGATAACTTGCCTTCTTGTCTGAAGGGGAAGTAAGGCACCTTTCTAATGAGGCTGCTCACCAATTAGAAGTACAGCTTCATCAAGAAGCCCCTGTTCTCATAGTCTTTGATTCAGTAACTGACCCGAGTGACCTTCAGCTAGTTCTTCACTTCTCTGAGGTTTAACTTCCTCTTATTATAAAATGAAAATAATAACGCTTTCTTTACAAGTAATGCTGAGAAGATGAAATTAAATTAGAGAATTTATGTGAAAATATCTGGCACATAAGTAAATGATCAAGAACTGTTTCTTTCCTTCCTTTTCTCCTTTCCCATCCTTCTACCCTCCACCCTCACTCCTTTTCTTTCCTCCTCTTTTCTTCCTTTCCATTCGTAATTCGTGCCACCTAGCCAGTTCTTTATGGTGGGTGTGGGATGTTTGTTCCAGTAGGGTTCCTGTTCTAACTACAGTTTGACTAGTTGAATAGGAGACTGACTCACCTGTGCCCAGCTAGTCCCCAGAACCTCTCTCCCTCCACCACCATATACCCCATAATGGATGCTATAATGATGAGGATTGTTAAATAATGAAGTCTGTTGCTTTTATTTAAATTCTTTACACTAGGGAGTTCAGTGAGTTTTTATGAGCAATGAGCCACCTGTCTGTGTTTTCATGAAGGGAAGGTGATCTATGTTAGTCAATTAGCATGGGTGGGGGGACCTGGGAGTACCTCTGACAAGCAACCAAAGCCTCTCAGGCCTTGTTGGATTTGGGTGTGGGCCTTAGCAAAATACAGAATACAGAGAAGCAAGCTCATAGTTTGATGTAGAGACAGCCCTGAAGACCTTGGGCCGAGGCCAGAGTAATAGACTTGGATTAGAGTAAGCCAAGGGAGGTAGTCATTCTCCACGTAGAATCCACCCTGTTTAAGAGATGGCTCTATATAGAGACCCCGAAGAAATGAGGCGAGGGAAAGGAATTTCTCCTTTAGAAATTCGAATTAAATTGGAGCCCTTCTAGGGCTGATTATCCCTTTTTTCTTCTCTCCCATTTGACAAGTGTTCATCCAGTTAATTTGGAACAAGCCCTCTCCTTCCATCTCCAATAGTGACTGCGGGCCAGCTAGATATGACTCGGGAGCCCTTGAAGTTGCAGGCTGGGGCATCTACCCCAGCGTCCTAATTGTTGTCAGACAATCAATGATCCTAACTGGTTAAAAGCCTGGAGAGATTATGTCACCCTCTGCCCTTTACCCACAGATGTCAAACCAAGATGGAAACCATGGGCAAGGAAACATCCCGTACATCCTTGCAGGATACCTCATGAAAGGAAGATGCTTTTTGTTGAAAATCTATTCATTTTGCATTAGAAATAAAAATGTCTCTTTGGAAGTGTATTGGCTTAGGAAGAAGAAATAGTAGAAATAGAACTTCAAACAGATCTTGGTCTCTGCTAATACATTTTTAGTTTTTCTTCAAGGGCTACTTGTCCCAGTAATAATTTCTATCCTGCAGTTCTCCCCTTTGCGTTCCTTTAGTGGAAGTCATGGGAATGATAGTGTTTAGAGCAGGGGGTTGGCCCAGAGGAGTACATTGGCCTCCCCAAATTCTTGACAGACGTCTGGGACACCCACCCAGAGCTCATCTCACCTAGCTGCTTCTGAAGACTAAAGTGATGGGCTCTGACCACAGAAAAATCACCCATGCCAATCTCTTCCTCTTCTTTCTCCAGCAAGGATTGAAAATAGTTCACCATGCAGAGAAGACACTGTCCAGCTTCTGTAAGTGGCAGAAGAGCATCAATCCCAAGAGTGACCTCAACCCTGCCCATCATGACGTGGCCGTCCTTCTCACCAGGTACCCCAGAGCCAGGGGCTGCAAGGCAGGGAGGGCTGGCAGGTGAAAGGGTTGCCAGGTATTCAACCTCATGAGATTCTTCTGCTCTTTGCTGCTCTTGTCATTTAAAAGGCAGCGTCTATCAACTAGACACTTCCTGACTCCCATACCAGTAAGGGAGCAGTCAGCAAACTTGCTAAATGCACACAGCTCTCTGTGTTAATAAACTGCATCTGCTCTTTCCTATCCCAGTGATGATTTCGTCTTTAAAACTGGCTTTTCGTTGCAGCTCTATAAACAATCGGGAAGCTTGTTAGCAGATAGATCCTCATTAAAGGCTCCTTTAACTCTTAACCATGGAATTTCTCATCCTTTAATTTTCTTTTCAAAAATTTCCTCCAATTTAGAAAGCTGCAACTATCTCTACAGAAATCAGTCCTCCTTGTAACCCATCTCTGACTGATGTTGAAGACAGAATATGGGGAGAAGGTCCTCCCCTGAATAGGCAGAGTGGTTTGCTTGCACCTTTCTCCCTTTTACCCTCATGAAGATACTATTTGTTCTGACTACAGAGAGACCCTATGGTGCTAAAGAAGAACCATCAGACCTTCTAGGACTCATAGCTGTGAAAAGCTAGTGAATTTACCTGATCAACCTAGGCTCTTGGAATGCTATGTTTGCTCACTGATTCAATAAATATTTTTTGAGTACCTACTATGTACCAGATACTATTTTAATCTAGACAAATGAAGCTCTTAATGGGGGGAAAGTAAGTTTTCACTGGGCGCTCCTATGCACATTCAGAGACATCCTGAAATCCAGAGATGTGTAGTGGAAGAGGCCTTTCAGCCTGGCCCTCCAGCTGAAGAGACCCTCATGAGCGGAAAGGCCCTGGGTGTCTGTTTGTTGTCCCTGGGGAGGACAGGCTGCCCCTGAACATCTTGGCTTGTCATCTGTCCCTTTGACAGGGTTATCCCAGTCATGGGATACAAGGGATGTACAAGGGATGATATGTACAAGGGATGATAATCAGCCCCCACCCATCCAAATTTCTGTCTTACCCTGACCCAAAATTCCAATAATCAGAATCACTCTTTTGAGTGATAGTATCAAAATTTCGGTTGAATGCAAATATGTTCCAAAATAAGTCCATGGCATAAACCTATTACATTAGGTTCATTAGGTCTTATGACACCTGGGTTGATCATAGCTCCCCTGGGAAATAGGTTGGTGTGGGTGTAGAATGTAAGCACAGAGGCTTTGGGGAGCCAGCAGGCAGCCAGGGAACATGAGGACCCAGGCAAGTGGCCAGGGGAAGACTTCGGTCTAGGCAGGACCTGGCTGTAGGGAAGAACCCTGGATCATAGGACCAGCATTGGCCACCTGGCAGCTGTGTCTCAGCAACGTCTCCTTTCTTTCCCTGAAAGCAGAAATAGTTTCTCCTCTCATTCTCACATGCATAAATCAGTGAGTTAATGATAGTTGGCATTTAGGGAGTATTTGACACGGGCCAGGCCCTATGCTACATCTGTTAGAACAATCATCATTCCATTTAATCCCCACAACAACCCTGGTAGTTCATTACTGTCAATCATTCCTGTTGTACAGATGGGGAAACTGAGGCTTAATTATGTCACTTGCCCAAAATCTCACTGCTTTTAACAGGTACAGTAGAGACTTAAATCCAGGTAGCTTGACCCCAATAGCCATACTATTACTCAGTAAGAATACGAAGGATCTGTTCTCCTTTTTTTCTTACTGTGATAATTTTTCTTCCTTAGAACAGGGGTCAGGTTCCAAGCTTTGATGAACCTCACCAGCTCCTAGACAGTAGAGAGAATTTCAAGTTCTGAAGCAGGATTTCTCAATATCAACACCATTGACATTTTGGGTTGGCTAATTCTTTGCTGTGAGGGGCTGTGCATTGAAGTGTATTTAACAGTATCCCTGGGGGCTTCCCTGGTGGTCCAGTGGTTAAGAATCCACCTTCCAATGCAGCAGATGTGGGTTCGATCCCTGGTCTGGGAATTAAGATCCCACACACCACAGGGCCACTAAGCCTGTGTGCCACAGCTACAGACCCCACGCACTCTGGAGCCCATGCACCACAACTAGAGAGAAGCCCACGGGCCACAAGAAAAGACCCTGCATGCCACAGCTAAGACCCAGCGTAGCCAAAAATAAATAAATATCAGAACAAAACAAAACAAAACACAGTATCCCTGGCCTCTATCCATGAGATGGCAGTAGCACCCTCCTCGAAGTGTGACAGCCAAAACTGTCTCCAGACATTTCCAGATGTTCCCTAGGAGGGTGTGGGGAACAAAAATCAACCCCTGTTGAGAACCTCTGCTCTGAAGAAATAGGTAGGCTCAGGAAGGGAGGGAAGTATAAGACTGTACTTGCCTCTGGAGGACTACGCTGAGATCCACTTCAACAGAGCTCTCTATAGAGGTGCATTCAGTAGAAGGTGGGTTTGGTGTGAACACGCCTTGTGAAATGGGGCTGGTGGCTGCATGCCAAGGTGTGTTTTCTCTTTTACTATCCTCAGTGCATGGTGGAGGTGGAGCTGATCTCCTCCTGGGAGCTTAAGCTCTTTGCCTGCAAGACCACCCCTATCTTACAATCCTTTTGTTACCTGCTTTTATCTTCTTTAGTGCTGGATACTTAATAGGCACTCAATGAACAGTTATTTAAGGGACCCAACTTCCTGCACTTTCAGAAAGTTGGTAGGTTACCAAAAAGCATCATTCATCTTTTCCCAGCAGCTCCATGCAGACCTAGGGTGGAAAAGTGTTTGGTTGGTCCTCCCACAGACTCAGAAATTATTTGAAATGCTTGGGCTATATGATCCAATCTAGCTCTCCAACACAGAACTACCACTGCTAGTAGGGGTGCGGATTCACGTCTGCTGCGCATGCTGGGAGATGACAGTTGCTTTCTCCTGTTCCATTGTCCCAGCCGTTGCCTCTTGGAGAACTGAGAACTTATGGGGGGTTCTCAGAGCCTGAACCTTTTCTATGGCCCAATGGACACAAAAAGCAGACCATTTATTGCCAGAAATCACACCCACACAAACCCCATGATCTGAAGGTCTGCAACCAGCTAAAGCTCAGAGCCCTGCTGGCATTTGTGCTAGTCTTTCTTGCCAAAGACTTCTTGAACTGAAGAAAACCATACGACTAATTAACGACTCTTCAAAACTCTTGTCCCTGATTGAAATGAGCCCTTCTAGGATCTGGGAGCACATTTTTATATTTAAAAGCTGTAACTAGTATTTTGTAAGATCCTAGGAGTGTTTGTGTGTCCATCCCCTCCTGTATGCAGTATTGTTAGGGTGGTGGAACTGGAGAGACCATTAATTTGATCCCTGGATGGGTTGATTGCACCAATTCCCTTTTTCATGAATGACTAAAAATTCTCAGATGAGTTTTGATGACAGACCCCAGAACGACCAAAAAGGTGTTTCATGTTTGAAAAATCCTCAGCCACTGTTGGTTGTCCCTTCCCTATTTAAAAGTTCAAATTAATTCCAGTTTTCAATCAAATCCTTCCCTTATGGGTCAAATAATATAATTTGGCCTCCTGAGATTAAAAGCAAAAACAACTCGAAGTAAAACATTTGCCATTTTTTCCTACCTTTTTCAGGTGTTAGTGAGATTCAATCATCAAGTGGTGAAATCAGAATAATTCTAGTGAATTCCAAATTGCTCCCTAACTCGTATGGACTATTAAAACAATTTTAATCATGCTTTACAGACCATATTGAATGTGAATTAATACCCAGATTTTTTCCAGGAGGGTTTTTTTTTTTCCAGATGTTTCTTTGGGTACCTACTCATCTCTGTTCTCTACTTTCAGAAAAGACATCTGTGCTGGTGTCAATCGCCCCTGTGAGACTCTGGGTCTGTCCCACCTGTCGGGAATGTGCCAGCCTCACTGGAGTTGTAACATCAATGAAGATTCTGGACTCCCCTTGGCTTTCACAATTGCCCATGAGCTTGGACACAGGTAAAGGGCCAAGGAAACTGAGATCTCTTCCTCATGTTCATGCATCAGTATCAGTAGAGGGAATGGAGGGAAACTTAAACAAGGTGTCAGGAGAATCTGATTGCATTGTGGCTTGAGAATCACCCTCTTAAATCTCTGCTTCCTCATCTGTAAAGGGGGGAATGGGGAATCACACATGACAAAGATTCCACTGTCTTCTCTGCTCTGACCCCTTGTACCATCGACATCACAGAATCAAAGAGGCCACTGCAATTCTCTGAGTTAGAATGAAGCGAGCAGAAACAAGGAGATAAGCTTTAACTTAATTGATTAATTCAGGAATAACAATCCCTATTTCGTTCTTATGAAGCTGTAATATTGTTAATATCACTAAAAAGTCATAAACCTTAACATTTTATGCCAGACGCTTTGCATTTTGTCACTGAATCCTCTCAACATTATGAAGTAGATACTATTGTTAGTCCCATTTTACTTATATGTATCAAAGGAGAACACTGAATAAAGAAAAAATGGAAAACTGCTATAAACTTGGAAAGCCCAGCAGACAAACACCAGTTAACAGAAGGTCCAAGTTGTCACACAGATGTGTGAATTTGATTAGGTGAATTGACTGAAGGCAGGTTTCAGAAAGGTTGAATAAAGGAATAATGAGGATTCTGGATTCTCTAGGTATCAGAAGTTCCCATGGAGGAAAGATCTTAGCTTATTCATAATTTATTGGTGTATGTATTAACCACAAATAAGAGAACAGCACACTGAGTGGAAGCTCAGAGTAGGGAGTCATTGTAAATGGCTCAACTATACCCCTACCTGTTTAGGAATAGCCCTGTTGACTGGATTATTCAAGGCCCAGCCTCTCTGGCCTCAGCTTCCCCACCATTTTTCTCATATAATATTGGCACTTTTCAAAATACTTTTACCTGAAGTACAAAACCAGAGTATCGGCTTGGGAGTTCAGAAAAGTGAGTGCTTATTCTGGCTTTTCCATCAACCAGTATTATGACCTTAGAGAATTCCCTTCACCTCTTTGTGCTTATTTCCTTATCTCTGAAATGAGTAGGTTGAATTAGGTACTGTGATTTCTTTGATCCTTACCAAAAAGCCCTGGGAGATAAATATGATATATTCTAGTATCCTTAATTATCAAAAATTCAAATACAAAGAGGTTAAGGGACTTGCTTATGATTAAATAATGATTGAGGACAGAATGCTAGGTCTTGAAAAGACCAGGCCATATTTGTTGGCATGTTGATAATAAGTTGGCAAAATGAAAATTATTAGTATGTGCAAATGTATAGGCATCCTCAATCCTGATATGTGGAAGGACTGTCCCTTGTAACTTCCAATAAAGTCATTGGTATCAGCAGCATCTGCTGACCAAGCAATGTCAAGTGAATATAACTAGGTCAAACTGAGAAATGATTGCTCAAGACATTCCCAGCAGTGGTATGCCCAAGCTAAAGAAAAGTGGAGAAGACATTCTCAAATGCTCACCACTTGTGTCAAGAATGGATCCTTTATATACTCAATTCAACCTGGCAGTTTTTAAAAAGTAAGCTAGTGGTAATACTGCCATATGATCTAGCAATTGTACTCCTGGGCATTTATCCTGGAGAAATGAAGATTTATGTTCATACCAAAAATCCTATACGTGAATTTTTTTTTGCACATCTTTATTGGAGTATAATTGCTTTACAATGTTGTGTTAGTTTCTGCATGAATGTTTATAGAGGCTTAATCTTAATAGCCAAAAACTGGAAGAAACCCAGGGGTTGTTTCAACTCAATATGGTGAATGGTTAAATAAAATGTGATGGATCCATACCATGGAATACTACTCAGCAAGAAAAAGGAACCAACTATTGATACATGCAATGACCTTGATGAATCTTTGGACAATTACGCTCAGTGAAAAAAGCCAATCCCAAAAGGTTAGATGCTGTAAGATTCCATTTACACAGCATTATTGAAATAACAAAATTGTCTAAATAGTGAACGTATTAATGGCTGCCAGGGTTTGAGGAGGGAATGGGGGAGGGAAAGAAGTGGGTGTGGCTATAAAGTGCAACGTGAGGAATCCTTGTGATGGTGAAAATGTTCTGTCTTGACTGTATCAACATCAGTATCCTAGTTGTGATATTGTAGTACAGTTTTGCAAGATGTTACCGTGAGGGGAAAGTGGGTAAAGGGTACATGGGACCTCTTTGTATTATTTCTTACAACTTGCATCTGAATCTATAATGATATAATAATATAAATTTAATATATAAATATGATAAATTAAAAGTTTAATTTTTAAAAGGGGACCTTGGGCCATGTACAGATGACCTAAATAGAGCACTGTCTTCTAAATGGCAAAAAAAAAAGTTTTGGGTCACTGATAAGAAAGGCAAAGTTGAAGGAAGACATATAACCTTGAGTTTGAGTGATAGAAAAAAATGCTTTGGTAAGACACAAAACGAAAGAAGAGAAGACATTAGGAGTGTCCTGGAGTGTCCTGAGAAGCTTGTTCGTAGCTAAAGATGCGTCTGAGGTATTTAGTTCTTTCTTTAGGTGTAAAGTTCTAACTAGCTGTGGACCAAACTGAGAAACCCTGGGCAGATCAATGAAATGGACTGAAGCTGCCCGGAAAAGGAAAAACACAATAAGTTACTATCCTAAGAAGATACTCATTATAGTTCAATGACAAAGATACCCCATTGTTCTTGAAAACATAGTTGTTTCATCACTGATTGCGTAGGATGCAAAATAGAAAGTGAAGTTAACTAACTTGTGCTATGGCCTAAATAAATAGTTTGATTTTTATTCTGAGAAAATTTAAAATTCCGTTTATGAGAAGCCTGGATTACATCCATCATCCATACCTAAGCTCTCATCCCTTATTGGGTGAGTTACCAAAAATGAAGGTGGAATTCCAGCAGGAAATTTAGAAACCTCTCTGAGACTTAGCATCCTTTTCCTTTAAGTAATGAAAATATCACGATAGAGATGAACACTTAAAATGCAATATCCACCCAATATATCCAACTCTTCTGGATTGTGATATTCCATTTATTTCATTTATAGAGCTTTGCCTGTTGCATATACCAAATTGATATTTTCTGAATGCGTTAGAAAAGCTCACATTCATACTTTGATGATTCTTGTTCTCTGCTGGTTCTGCTCCACCATAAAATAAACAGTAAAAACAGGGAATGTCTCAGCAAGTGATACCCTGAAACCCAGGCAGTGACTTAGCTTACTGTTTCATGTCTATAATTTCATAAACCCATCTAACAGGAATTACAAAACAAAGATGTAGTAAAGCAGGCTAATCCAACAGCCCAGTTAGTTGTTTCAGACTGTAGTAGGCTCCTTACTCCAAGCTGCTTTTGAGGTTCATCCCGCCTGCTGGAAAGTAGCTTCCTGGAAACATCTTCCATCCCTTTGACCCCATGTGCTTTCCTTCTCTCTCATTATTCATTGACCCACTGATCCCATGTGACAGGAGTGCTGCCCCCGTTTAGAGAAAGTAGACATGTCCAGGGGGACCTTTGTTTAGCAGCACTGCTTTTCTTTTGTTGGATGGGAGCACAGAGGAGTGATAAAGCTGGAGGGGGAATGCTTTAGTGAATTAAAAACTTTAGAGGGAACAAAATCAGTTCCTTTTGGGGAACTAATATATTTAGAGTATAGGTTTGAAGCCACCCAGTATATAGGATCCAGCCATATGGCTCGTCTTATTGGTTTTTTGTCCACGAGGCATGTGGGATCTTAGTTCCCTGACCAGGGATCGAACCTGCACCCCCTGCATTGGAAGATGAAGTCTTAACCGCTGGACGCCCAGGGAAGTCCCGCTTGTCTTATTGGAATAGCCAATGCTAGAAAAACGATTATTCATGGAGATTTTTAGAACCATGCTTGCTTAGGATTTTTCCTAATTATTGAACAGGTGAACTTGTGGAATACTTTATGAACTGGGTAGGACTGGATTTGCAACAGGCTGGGGAAGGCTTGCTTGGGGGCGGGGGAAAACAACTTTCATTGAATTAAATTCTTTGTGGTTGGGTGGTGAGAGCTCTGTAGATTAATTCTCTGACTCCTTTGTGAGTTTTGTATTCATGTGGAATGTGATCAGAGTCTGTAAGTAAGTTGATAACATCTTAATGCATTAAAAATAATACAAGAAAATCCCTAAATCCCCCAAAGACTATTTTCTGCAAGAGTTGCTAATGTTGATCAGGAGATTTTATTAAAGTTAGATATGAGCTTCCCTGTCAGAGGGATTGAATTTCACTAGCAGTGTAAGAGGTCATACTTTCCTCTGTTCAGATTTGGAAAGTTGAGCCAACATCTCTAGGCTGTAAGTGTCCAATAAGCAGATTCCAGCAGAGAGGGGTCTTGTGGGGACTCAGAAGTCATCTTGATGGTGATCCTGAGGATTTGGCTTATAAACTGACACTTCTCAGTCCGCCTGTTTCCCAGGCGCCTCCTTGCCATGGGAGTCAGTTAAGCACTTTAAGGCCTTTCAAGGCTGCTTCACCTGGTCATCCCTGGCAGTGGGAGGTCAGGGAGCCAACCCAGCAAGACACAGACAAGAGCACTGATTTAGGAGCCCAAAGATCTGCAGAAGACTTAGTTTTGCCACAAACTAGCTCACGACTTTTGACAAATCTCAAACTCTCAACTTACTTATCTAGAAAAGGAAAATAAGCTAGCTAGACAATGATAAAAACAGCAATAAAAAATTTCTGTCATTTACACAACATATATATATATGCCAGGCACCTTGCTCAGTGATTTTCAAACTTTATTCCACTCAAATCTCATCCCAGGACTATGATGATGACTCCATTTTCTGCTCAGTGAAACTCAGCAAGTTTCAGTAACTCACAGATCCTTAAGTAGCAGAGCTGGAATTCAAATCCAAATCATCTGTCTTCAGATACCCCACTCTTGACCCTTGTACTGTAAGGTCTCCCTAATGTCTGATGTTGGAGGACTCATAGCAATACTAGAAAGAAATCCATCCCCTCCAAGCTTGTGGCCTTTGACAAAGTCTTCCACAGGCTTCCCCTCTCATGCTCTCCCTTAAATTATGATGAAAAAGGAAGAGGAAGGTTTTGCTCTTTTGTGCTAAGATTGCTACAGCAGGAGAAAGAGGACAGCTGGACGCAAGATTTGCCCCCCAACTCTAGTCTCACAGAAGCCAAAGCCAAACTGGAAGATTTTAGCTTTCTGCCAAACAGAAGGTTTTGAATTATAGCCACATGGCTCCCAGGGTTGCATATTTGAAACAAAGCCATGCCTGAAATGTTTCCTGTGCTTTTGAGTTGAAAATTAGCTAGACCCGTCCAACTTCAAAGGCCTACTTTGGAATCAGATACCTTCTGTACAGAGGTGGCTCTCCGTGGGTTGTTTTCACCTTGGAGAAACTGTGGTTTTCTCCTTGTTTACACCTGCCTCCTTGATATCCTTGTGTCTGTGCCCCCTGCAGCTTCGGCATCCAGCATGACGGGAAGGAAAATGACTGTGAGCCTGTGGGCAGGCACCCGTCCATCATGTCCCGCCAGCTCCAGTACAATCCCACCCCACTGACGTGGTCCAAGTGCAGCAAGGAGTACATCACCCGCTTCCTGGAGTAAGTGACCGCACATCTCAGGACAGCCTCACTTGGCTTTCTGTAAACCGGAAGTCACTTTGAGTTCTACCCGAGGCCCGGAAAAGTCTCAGTTCCTCTCACAGGTCACAGTATAAGGGTGGCAACAGAAGGGGTGGACCTCACTGCTGCTTTCTGACCCTGAGATCTAGGTGGGTTTTGCCTCCAGCCTCAGCCAGGTGAATACTCCGTCTCCCCCCCACTCCCCCTTCAGCTTGCTTCTGTCTGAAGGTGGCTCTTTATGACCTGATCGTGAGTTAAGTCCCTGGGGACTGGCAGAAGCAACCAGGACAAGTCAGTGGTCACTGTACCCCATTTGGGGTAAGATGGTGATTTTCTCATTTTACCACTGCTTGTATTTCTTAGATCACTTCTGAACAAATGGTGTGAGATGCGATTTGCATTTCCTTTTAGACAACTCTCCCCTTGGGCCTGATAGAAATAAAGTTGTCTTGAAGGACAGAGTACACTAGAGGAATGGAAGTTTCTCTTGAATGAAAGACTAAATCTTTCATTTAGGAGATCATAAGCAACTGCTCTCATTTCTATTAACTCGTTTTCAGCCGAGGCTGGGGGTTCTGTCTTGATGACAACCCCAAAAAGAAAGGCTTGAAGTCCAACGTCATTGCCCCTGGAGTGATCTATGATGTTCACCACCAATGCCAGCTGCAGTATGGCCCCAATGCTACCTTCTGCCAGGAAGTAGAAGTAAGTGTTGGGTATATTGGTGCCTCTGGTGGGTATGGGCAGGGCTTGAGATCCAGCATGCTAAAGGAAGGGCCAGGGAAATACTTGGAAATCCAAAGATCCAGAAATGGAAACTTTCTGTTCATGGCAAGATGTCTGTAAGGCAGAAGGACTGAAGTTGAGGTCATTTATATCCCTTGACCCACCTCCTTGGTATCCTTTGCAACTGGGTGGTGGTAAAGAAAATTCTACAGTGATTTTCAAGAGAAAATCAATCAATTTGAAGTTTAGAGTTGAGAAAATTACTTCCCATCCCACTTGAGTGTTTCTCAGAGTTGTGTGATGGAGGAGAGGCTGGCCTTTTCCTGATAAAAATCCAGGCTTTTTCAACTTTTATGTATAAGAAAATTGAGAGCTAAAAAATATGAAAGTAAAGTTGAAACATGAAGGATGGAATAGGAAGATCCATCAACAATAATTGTGAGTTGCAAAGGGAGTGAATAGTTGCAAAAGTTGTAATCATGGAGAGGCAAGAGTCAGATAAAAATTAAGAATTTTCTAAAATAGTTAAAAATACAAGATCTTATGATGAAGGAGCATATTGAATATAGAGTAGAGTAACTAGATGGAATGATGGCAGATGGGTGGATAGAAGAAAGACTAAAAGGTAGATGGAAGCAGCTGAGCCATTTCAGATGCTATGTAAGAATCTTGTCAACCTTCCCTTGTTCCTACTGCAGGAGGAGAAATGTGAGGGAATATTCAGTTCACTCCCTGGCAGCTAAAACAAGCTGGCTGTTTTGGGTAATAAGTAAATAAGTTGAGGTTTTCTGGATGGAATAGTTTCACTTTCCTTCAATGAGCAGGCTCAAGTTATAACCGCCCAGCTCTTTGTAATCAGATCACCTTCCATCACAGTCTGGATTGCTCTTTGATGACTACTGTCACCGGTTGCCCTGCCTAAGGGCAGTGAGTACTGGATATTGAGCCACAGGTGTAGAAATTCAACTCTTGGGAAATGTGTTTTACCTCCCATTTTCATATTGCCTAGAATGGCCTACAGACCACTGTTTATGAATGATGACAAAGTCCAAGTTAAGTTTAAACTGAGGGTTCTTGTGCGATTACTTTGCATCACGTTACTCACTAACAACCACAGCATTTATTGTGGGTATGTGGGTGAGTGTGTGTATATTTTACCATCACTGTAGAAATGCTTTTGTGCAAGTTTTGAATGTTAAAAAAAGTACGATCTCATGTTTTTTTTCCAGAATGTTTGCCAGACACTGTGGTGCTCTGTGAAAGGCTTTTGTCGCTCCAAGCTGGACGCTGCTGCAGACGGGACGCGATGTGGTGAGAAGAAGGTGACGTGTCAGTGACGTGTCAGTGATGTGAGGAAGGAAGGTGGTGGGTGAAGGGCTTAGCGTTCTTGGAGAGGGCGGAGGAGAAGGCCCTGGAGAGCAGCTGCCTCTGGGTGAAGGCAGATCATCATGCGGTCAGACTTGCCAAAGGAAAGGATTCCACTTCCGTGACTCCTTTTGAGCCTTCATTGGAAGCAAGTAGTTAGGGAGAGAGGGCCACGCTCCAATTATAAAACATCTGGCCCATCTTTTCCCGATGACTTTCCATGGAGTTTGTGGTCAGTAACATCTGCTGAGCTTATCATCAACCTTCATTTTGACATTTTTCCCCCCTCCATATTGAACATTGGGAAGGACAAGCCAGTAGCTTCTTCTTTCCAAAGATGCTGTATTTAGACCACTTGTTATCTTCTTTCTCACCATCTGACCTGCATTTCTTGAAGTCCTATGCACCTTACTAAGCAGGAAAGCCATACACCCAAGAACTCAGAGATGTTAGATGTCCTCCAGACTACCTAAGAACAGAGTAATACGTGCTGCTCAACAACACCATTTGGGTTCGTTGTGGGCCTAGGATTTATGTGTTTAGTGGGTGTCTTTACACGCTTGAGTGTGGCATGACCCATCACTGAGATTACAGCACTCGATCAGAATACACAGTGACCAGAAAGTAATGAGAAAGAGGAGGCCAGCAGATGGAACATGCCCAGATCCTCCAGGAAATGTGGCCATTTCTAACAGCCAACTTGCATTTCTTGTTTCCCTTTTCCTGTGTTCACCCTCCTAAACTGGTAGTTGTTGAAGGATTCCCTTGAAGAGGGAGAGAGTGGACTTTTTCCTGAGCCACTTGAAACACCAGAACTGGAAACAATGGGTAGAGTTATAGGAAAGCAGAAATTTTTCTTGATGCCTAACTTCAGCTTCTTAACAACTTGTGTTTTCCGGCAATGAGTGGACATTTTGCAGGAGGATGTTATCTGTTGCAAACATTAAATACCCATAGAGGCTATAGTGCCAGTCTGCAAAATGTTTGTTATGGTCTTCAACAAGATAAGAAGCTTGTGCCAGAAAGGAAATCAATTACGTTACTGAACAACTATATTACTAAGCATATTCAGCTGACATGCTTTTCATGGCGAGACTTTCTCAGTGAAGGAAGCGGTGTGTTGATTTACTTCTGGGGTGCAATCTGCCAGTCACACTATGAGTAACACTCCTGCATTCACTGCAGCTAGGCACTGTAAAGTTCCCTTTAATTCCTGAAATACTCTGATTCTAAAACCCAAGACTCTTGGGGGAAATTCTTTTATGAGGCTCTCTTTGTGCTACATCTGATGTGTGACTTGTAGGAAGTCTGCTTGCTCTGGGAGAACTGGGTTTAGACTGCTAGGTTTCCTGACTCAGCTTACTCTGGGAACCTTCCTGACTTATGCATCTCCTGCCTTTTCCCTTTCCAGTGGTGTATGGCTGGCAAGTGTATCACAGTGGGCAAGAAACCAGAGAGTATTCCCGGAGGCTGGGGCCGCTGGTCACCCTGGTCCCACTGTTCCAGGACCTGTGGAGCTGGAGCCCAGAGTGCAGAGAGGCTCTGCAACAACCCTGAGTAAGTCCAGCCAAAGATATTTCCCTTCCTTCCATGAGCACCGGGAGACTAGTCGTGGACAGCATGACTTCAGTGACCCCAGGCCTCCTGAGGGAAATCAAATATGTTCCCAAAGATGAAAGGAAGCCAGGAGGAAGATTCATAGAGTGTGAAAAAAAAGGTGGTTCTTTTTTGCTTTGTTTCATTTTGGCTTGGCCCTGGATTCTTACTAGAATTTGGGTAAGTAAGCTGATTCCATCATTTGGAGAAATAAGCAAAATTTTTTAAAAAGTACAATCTATGTGAAAGACTTTAGGAGATTACACAATTAAATCCTTCTAAATAACCCCATTCTATCAGTGGGGATTAGTTACACCCAATTTTGCTGATAACAGCTTTCTTTCCATCATAATGAATGTATAATTTTATAAAAATATTCTTCTTCCCTTAGGTGACTAATTAAATAGCTAGGCACATTTTTTGAGGATAATTATTTTTAATGTTTTAGATTAGGATTTTGTAAACCTTAGAGTTCCATATTAGCCTATCAAGGATTCCATAGATGTTATTTCACAAGTGGCTTTCAATTTTTTTTAATTGCTTAATATTTTCATATTTTAAGTTTGTATAATGATATTATATATGAATTAAATTTATATTTCCTTGATTTCAAAATATATATTACATTCTTAATTTCATTATTTCTCAGTATACTAGTTCCCAAGTATAATTTTTAAAAAGTGTACATACAATGCCTCCTGTAAGTAGAAAATGTATTAAACTTCTTTTACCTAGATTTACATGAGTCTGCATTAAAGAGTCACATTTTTTAAAAGTGATAAATATGGTTATAATTCTCTCAGTGTTTCATTTCCAAATCTTCTCCTTTTTATAATAAATATATTTCTATATGTATATATCTGCATGTATATATATATATATATACATATAAACTATATATATATATATATATATATATATAAAATTTATCCTAGGGGTTAATAAATTAACATCTATGAAGAGTTTAACATAATATCTACTACATAAAATTGTCAGTAAATGGTAGTTATTATGCTATCTTTACCATCTCCCATGCATGTAAGTAAGTGTACATTTGAGGAATTTGGGCAAAATTGTTTTAAAATCTTACCTTTTTGTTTAAATACAAAGTTCCTGTGACTTCAAAAATCCCTTAAAAAGTATTTTTACAGAATATCTTTATAGTTTGTTTCAATGTGATCAGAAAAGTGATTTCCATTTCAGAGATCAGGAAATACAGGTGATTTGTTCTGGGACCTATTGTCAGTGTTCTGTATCAGCCACTACCAGTCCGTAGCCTTCCTTGGAGGATGGTCAGTGATCCATGGTTGTCAGAAAAGGGACATCCTTGTTGAGGAAATGAAAGATGATCCTCTAACTTGGCTTCAGGGGGAAAAAATGGTCCCAACTCCCATCTCAGAGGCTACAGTTTGTCTTAGAGTCTCCTTGGATGAGTGACCATGTCTGATCTCAGTAGCTGGTTTGCTTAAGTTCATTGAGAACCATAACAATGGAAACACAGTAACAGATTCAGTTCTGTGAATCAGGTCACAGACTCAGGTCAGTGCGTCCTTGATATGTATCAGTCAGCTGTCTAGTGAGAACCCAGCAGGGCTTGGCTCACAAAAGGCTCTTGGATGGAAATGACTTGGAGAGGTGCCAAGTCATAGAGTGTCACTCCATCATCACAGATAGGAAGCCAGCCTACCCTCAACTCTCAAGGACAATTCTTAGTCCCACCTACAGGGAGTTAATGAATGTGAACTGCCTTGGTCAAAGAATTATCTTTGGGTGTGATAAATGCAGGAAGTGCCTACAGTAGGATAATAAAGTGTCATTTAAGAGGAGAAGGAGATTACTTCTGACAGGACTTCAGGAAGAATTCATGATGGAGATGGAGATAGCATTTATTGGTCCTTAAAGCACAGGCAGTATGTAGATGTTTAGAGACTTAAGAGAGCAGAAATCTATCTAGAAGCACAGAAAAAATAAAAGCAAATAAGTCAGCCTGTATCATGGGAGCAGTGTGCCAATGAGGAGGAGTGTGGGAAGAAATGTTGTTCAGGTGAGGTAAGTCAGTATCATGAGGGCCTTGGATGCCAAGCTCAAGAGGCTGGACTGGATTCTGTGGCCATGGGGTGCCATTAAAGATTTTTAAACAGGAATCTAAAATAATTAAGGCAGTCATAAAAATTAGCCAGAGAAGAGTGTGTACAGTAGGTTAAATGAGGAAAAAGAGGGCAGACAGGAATGGAGATAAGGGGTGAACTAGTTTGGTGATTGTGGGAATGAAAAGGAGGAAACAAAACTAAAGTCACAACTGATGACCAGGCAACTAATTGACCATGGGGTCAAGCTATTTCAAAACAGGCAACTTGGGACTGAATGTTCACGGGCAACAGCAAAAAATGTGGGAAATTTGAAGAATTTATTCAAACGGTGAGTTCTGAGGCTAGAGAAGGACAAGGTTTGGCAAGGAAGGGGCATGGCCAGATGCCAGAGGATTTTTAAAAGAAAATACTGGCCTTTAAGGAAATTAAAGAAGAGTTTGTGTGTTCATGTGTAGACCAAAGTTTGGAGGGAAGTACTGCACTGGAGAAAGAAAACGCTATCGCTTGTGCAACATTCACCCCTGTCGCCCGGATACACCAACATTTCGGCAGATGCAGTGCAGTGAGTTTGACACTGTTCCCTACAAGAATGAATTCTACCACTGGTTTCCAGTTTTTAATCCAGGTAAGGAGCTATAAGAGTATATTCCAGATCTAAGACTACTGCCATTATCAGAAAGCATTTATCTGTCAGTGTACCTGTGATGCCTTGCAAAGTTCAACAAAAAGAGAATTGTGCCATCAAGAGTTTTATGTTTTAGGAGGTGGAGACACTGACCTGGTTAAGTGGATCAGTAAATGTTGAAGGTGAATATTCCAACTCCATGCTGAGCTATAGTGGAGATAAAAGAGAAGTTTATCAAACATGATGGCTCACTTCAAAACAGCTGAGGTGCAACTAAGCAATAAGTGGAGCTTGTAGGGATTCAGAAACTAATCACTGATGAAAGTGCTTGTTGATGAGCATGTGGAACTGAATGTAATTTTGGCAGAGATTCAGAAAAGAAGATCATTATGGTTTTGGAGTAATTTCAAAGAAGTCTTCCAAGGAAGTAGTTGATGATTCTTAAGCATGAGTAGTCTTCCTCTTGGCATAAGGGAAGGGGAAGGCATTCAAAATAGAGTCACCAATTCCAAGTGAGAGGAGAAAAGCACAAGGAAAGACAAGATGGTAGAAAATGAATGAGAAACTTGATCAGAAATGAGTAAAAGCCAGCTCTGGGCCAGAAATCAACATTTTTTAATGTATAGGCCAGTATAAAAAGGGTAAAAAGTAAAATCAAGCATCTAAAGGATGCATATCAGAGAATGGGGGCGTAACAGAGTTAGAGAATGGGGGCATAACAGAGTTGGAGAATGGAGCAGCAGCTTTGGCAGTGCTTCCCTTGAATCAGCACCAGTGACACATTCTCTACTGAAAATGAGGAAGAATCATTGACTGTTAGCTATAGATTAGCCTCAAAGAGTATCTGTGCTATTTGTTATTCAAATAGAGAATGAAAGAAAGATTTTGCTGAGTTAAGGAGATTTGAGACAAGGTAGTGAAAAGTAACCACGTTTTTTGTGATTATTCAGTTTCTGAAATGCAGCATGATAGAACAGAAGAGGACTTGTAGATGTCAGCCAATGAATGAAAATTACATATTTGGACTGTTAGAAAAATGATATAGTCAATTGCTTTTGGAAAAAATAATGCTTTTCCTTCTTTGTGTCTCCAAAATACCCTGATGGATGTTGGTTGTCATGGGCAACGTCTGCTCCTTGTCACCCATTGTTTAGCATCATTCATGCTCTAGGGGAGTGAGTCATTTGTTTTTTGGTGCAGTTTTACTTTATGATCCAAGCACTCGAATACAGGAAAGCTCGTGTATATACTCATATGGGTGCAAAAAAAAAAAAAACAAGATAGTTATAAAAGGTATAGTCAGTTGGTACTACCTATACCTGTATTTTGGACATTCTGTTTTGTTGGAACTAGTTGGGTCAGTAGTACTATAGACTCTGAATGAGCACTCTTCCAGGACTAAAATGGCATAGCTGCCTCAGTGTTGTGACAGGTGCTTAGTTTGGGATCCCCACACCTTCCAGATTCAGGGTTGAATTTGTGTCTGCTGGACTCTGATGGCTCAAGTAGCTAGATTTATAGTGTGCCCACTTTTTGCATAGCCTAGCAATAGGTATTAAAGAAATGAGAGCTATAAAAGTAGATACAGATTTCACTCACTTTGGAGTGACCAGTTTGCATCTGTATTGAGGCTGTATAAACCATGTGAGGGAATTTAGCTGAGTGCCATCTGCTTAACTCACTGTCTAGCTGGGCTGTAAGCCTCCATTCTCCATCCCAGTGGTTTTCTTACAGGCTCCTGTGCTATTATTTGAGCATAATGACTTACCTGCTAACCCAAGTAACTACCACCTTGACCAACACACTCTTTTCTTTCCCCCATCAACCTCTATCCTACAGAGCTGCTATTTTCTTAGTTCTGGGCATCCCGGGTGACAGCAATGTGGCATTCATGACAACAACTCTGTGCAGAACACTTAATCTGTGCCAGGCATTGAGCACTTTACACCCTCCCAGCCTTTCCTTAGAAGCCACCAGAGGATAAACTAACTTACAGCAGAGTTTTCTACCCACTCAGTAGACAGTGTTAAGTGTCTTAGTAAGTGACCTTTGGCAGATTTGCTAAGTAGCCAATGACAGAAGAAGAATCATAGATTCAAACATTTGGAATAAGCATGGAATCTCCATCAAACTTTGTAGTTTTCAAACTCTGTTCCAGGGCTTCCAAAAATGTTTGATTCTATTATAATTTCATTTTCCAAAAGAAATAATTTAAACTATTTTTAAAAGTGCGATAAAGAACAATGCTTACACTCAAAAACAGTATATATTGAGTTTTAACATATCAGAAAACACCAATACATTAACTTACACAAATTAATTGGTTTTCTACAGACCTTAGAATAAAAGTCTCCCATCAACACAATTTAACTGAGAAATATCCTGAGATTACAGGTCAAGTTGTTCTAAACTGTTATCATTTACAGCTGTTTGTGTGAGTCAAGATTTTTCAATGCTGTACAAACGAAAAAACCCACAGAAAAAAATTAGGTGCTTCAGCCATATGCCTGTAACTGCCATCTGTAAACTTGATTTCAAAATTTTCTGTTCATCTTAATAGTCTCTTTTGATCCCACTGAACTATTTTTAAGCATTATGTACTTGAACTTATAAAATTTCTGTTTAATAAAATCCTGATTTTTATCTGCTTTATTTGCAAGATCTTGATAAAAGAAAAATAATTCTTCTGCCTAAAGTGTTTGAAAACTAATAATTTAAATCAGCTTACTTTCCAATATAGGCATATCCTTTACCAACACTCCTGGCAAAAAAAAAAAAAAAAAAGGCATCCAAACTCCACTTGATCATATTCATGGAAGCACCAGTGTGAAGAGCTGAGTCTATACATTTTCTCACTTACCCCCATCCCCATCCTTCAGAGATGAAGAAACGTAGTCTCAAAGAGGACAGTAACTTATTCAGGGTTATAGTGTCTTATATAATGGAGCTGGAATTGAAGAATATAGTCTGTTTGATTAAGAAGCTGAGATACTTATACTAACTTATATTCCTAGGGACTTGATTCGCCTATGTGAATAGAAGTATGTTTACATCCTGCATCGTCTATTAGGAAATGGCCAGAACCTGATTTTGGTGCCATCACTTTCTTGGAATCTCTCTTCCTTTTTGGATGTTTTTCTCAGAACCCCCAAATAACTCCTCATTAAGGCTAATTTTTTAGTTGTTGCTTCTGAATATTTCAGCCCTATCAATGCTTGCTGCCAGTGAGGTTTCCAGCATATGTAGAAGGTCTGACATGAGGTCAGACAACAGTCTGCTCCTCCTGGGATAGGATCCTTCAGGGACATCTGTAAGGAATTGTTGCAATTGCATTCCCTAGGAAACAGACTCTAAGACAGAGACTAGCGTGCGGGAAGTTCAACAGGTGCGGAAGGAGAGGGAAGGAAGAGGGGTTGGGCAGGCGGAGAAGCTGGGGTGCAGAGCACAGTCTCAGCAGAGGGCTTCTCCATGCCTCGGGAAGCTCTACAGCTTATAGAGTTTATTACAAGAGTACTTGGTGTTTAGAAAGAAACAGCCTTTAAAGAGAGTGTCATTGCGGGGAGCAACCTGGGAGATCTTCTAGCCAGAAGCCTCTCATTTCACAGACTAGGAATCTGTGGCTTCAGGAGGGAAAATGATGGAATAATAAGGATGATGTTTGCAGACACCCCAAAGCCATTCACAACCCCTTCACTGTCCTCTACAAGAGAAGAGGGAAAGCTAGAAGACTTGCTAAACTGTATTCCAGGGAGCCCCAGTTCCAACCAAAGAGATAAAGATGGCAGCTTCACTGGGTCAGGCTTCTGGGAAGGATTTTAGTTGGTACTGACCAAGCTGCCCTCGGCCCCCTGCCTTTCTGCCTTTCACTCTGCCCTCGTGCTGCCTGGGGTACACCAGTCCTATCTCAACAATGCTGAGACGGCTGAGAGGAAGACAGAAGGAGTATAGCCCCTGGATTTCTTGTTATGTGGGAAAAATAAATTCCTGTCCATTTAAAACAGGGAAGCAACATTTTTTTTCTTTTTCTTTTTCTTTTTGTTTTTGCTACTTGCAGCGAAACTCATTTCTAACTGATAACGAGAACAGGTTATATTAAACTTATATCAGTATCTGTTCTGTGTAGGTACTTACACTCAACACTTTGTATGCATTTCCCTAATTTTATCTCCACAAGAAAATCCTATATGGAAATTTAAGGTTTTGATCTAATTCTTATGGGTATGCTAATAGATTTAGAGACTGAGTAACTTCTTAAACTCAGACTGTACAATAAAGCCAAGAGTTAGCCCTGGCCTGACTCTGCAGACTAAATATTAACCATAGAAACAGAGACTGGGATAGGCCCATTACCTTAAGAACAAATGCATTGAATTTTGAATTTTACCTAAGATGATGTTCATTTTTTTTTTTTAATAGATGATTTTATGGCCAAGGAGCTCTGGTGGGAGAAGAGCCCCCAAAACTGTCTGTATTATGACAAATGCTATAGGTTTATTAAACTTATGTATCTTTGCCTTTGGAAATCAATTTTTTAGACATTTAAGCATTCTGACAAAATTATTACAATTTTGCAATAAGTTGCAAACAATAAGTTGCAACAATAAGTTTTGCAACAATAAGTTTTGCAACAATAAGTTGCAATTCCAAATTTAGTGTCACAGTTCCTAACCATTTTAACTAAAAGACAGAACATAAACATACAGTAAATAGCAAACATTGCTACATTTAGCGTAGTCTAAAACATCAATGAAGTGGGTTTCATTCATTTTTAACAATTAATTCTATTCCTGTTTTCATACTTTTCTATAGTTATGGTAGAATATATTAATTTTAATGCCTTCTTATGTTTGATGTGTATTTTGATATATTTGGAGATTGCAATATTACCTTATCAGAAAGTAAAAAAAATACTATTTTAGACCAGCCGAAGTTACAGAGTTTTGGTAATTATTTGACTGATTTTTGGTTGGGTTTTCAGTCAGGACTTCTTGTTTGGTTTT